CCGATTTCAATGAAGCTTGGCAAATAGATGTTATTCCACGAACTTTTGAGGTCGGTTTTTTTTTAAATGAAATAGTTGTAATTGTTAAACACTAAAGAAAGTATGCACAAACAAGATTCCTAAAACACTGGTACTCATTTACTTAGTTTAGGCATTGCAACTACAACATTAGAGTTCTAAGATATAATTGTCCAGTTGATTGTACGATAATGTTCTCTTTTAACAATTGAATAAGGTCCGCGTTACTTAGTCACTCTGATCTATAACTAACCATGGCGTTGATTCTCTAAAAATTTGTGTTACGTGTTTGTGATACTAACTAAGCGGGCATTTGGCCGAACAAGTTATTTCCGCCTAGGAAGCTCAGGCACATGTCGCGCACAAGTTTAGATACGTTCTTGGAACTAATTCTATATATTATAGTACTCTACTCGAGCAATAATAGCCCCCTTTACACAGTGACTTTACAGCACGGGAAAGCCTGCACGCGCAATCGTGCGCGATTACCTGTTTGATTTTTTTTTAAGCTAACATTATTTCTCGCGCGATTGCTCGTTTTCGTTTTTGTTGCAACAGAAAGAGAGCTCTGTGTGAAGGCTAATCACACATGATAAACCGCGTGAAACTACCGCGTGTTGGAGTGCGCGATGGCGCGCGCGACTGATGAGTCTTTCCCTTTTCCTCCCTATATCTTAACACGCGCGCTCAATCGCGCACGATTGCTGTATCACGCGCTATAGAGTGGCTATGTCACTTTTTATGTACTTAAATATGTTTACGCCGTTGTTCAATCAACCGTGTATCGATCAAAATGCATTGGATGTATTCGATCGGCAATTTCTGGGACAGCTGATTTATTTTCGCGAGTTCAGAGGGGACTCCGTACTATTTATTCAATGTCAACAAAGTTATACGTCCCGCTGTTTAGGCCAAAAATGGCCCGCCCATGCGGGTTGATGACTTCACACTTTTTCCGAGGGTTGTGAACTTCTTAGACCTGCAGGTTTCATCACGATGTTTGCCTTCATCGAAAGGCTTATGGTGAAATTCAAATTAAATTTCGCACATACATTCCTAGAAACTCAGATCAGAGGGGCGGCTTCATAGTAAGGCTCTATACAAAAATTACAATCATCCCCTAACACATTTTGTAAACTTTAATGGGATACTACAGTAATACACGAAAGTGTACTCGGTTATTTTTAATCTTTGTTTTAATTCATAATTTGAAAATAAGAAATTAATTTCCATGCGTGTAAGTTTTGTCCACTTTTGTTGGAGAAGTTTTTTATTTATTAAATTTTACTCAATGTTTAACTGCTACAATTTTTAAATTTTCAAACGTTTTTGGTTAGTCACAAAATTCATAAAAGAAATATATTTTATTTAGTTTCGATTTTTTTTTTTATAAAGGTTAAGTAAGACTAAGTGTAAATTAAAAGGAGTTAATCACAAATTTATGCCTAATTGTTGTTTATTACAATTTTACTATTACTTTACGTTAGTATTTTATATTGTTACTTTTTTTCTCTCTTATTTAATTACAACTATTTTAATACAACTATGTTGAAGTAAGTGGTGTAAGGAAAATTAAATACAGCGGTCACACAAACGCTAACTCAAACAAAGAGTGCTATATATTTTTTTACATAGTGTTGCCTGTAAGCGCTACAAATACACCTGTGGATTTTTTTCGTTTAATTTCAACTACCTGTGTTGTCTATGATCTTTTGTACCTCTACCACGGGTTGATAGGGACAATAGTCGCTGGCAACAACGGCGAAAAATATGTGTTCAAAAATTTATTATGCTAAATTGTACAGCGCTCCCAGCGTCACAAAAACCAGCAACATTTTGTGCACGAAACATCATACGTGCTCGAAAGAGACAATTGCCATTATAAACTCGCCTTAAGTACCGTAATCTAACAAGTAGATAGGTAGCTTGATAACTGCAATACTATTACACACTCAAACGCCAATGTTGTTCAAATTATAAAATAAATTGCTTTGTTTATTATTAGGTCATAACTTATTTGTATAGGTAATATAAGAGTCGATGTTACTTTAAAAGTTAGGTAAAGCTGTATTTTTATACCGTGCGCACGTTGCTGTAACATCGTGTACAATAGGGATGTATTAAAAAAGCATTACTATCGCGTACAATAGGGACGTTTCTAAAACTTCCTTTTTTTACTTAGAATTTACAGGTACATGGCACTTGTCAACTTAAGTCTCAAGGTGACGGACGCAGTGGTAGTGCCCCTCAAATCTTTGCGATTCAAAGCTCTGGGTGGCACTGCAACTATTATGGATAGGCATGTAGCTTACCATCAGGCGCACGACATGTTCGTCCCGTCACTTAATATTATAAAAAAAATTCTTAATATTATTTTTCACAGAACAATTGTTTTCCAACTCATGAAACTGCTTTTCCTGTCGATTGAACTTCGAGTTTTAATTTTTTACATTTTTTTTTAAATATTTTTTTAATACCAAGTGACGGGACGAGCAAGTCGTGGGCCTGGTGGTAAGCGACACGCCTGTCCATGACAGTTGCAGTGGTACTCAGAGCTTTAAATCGCAAAGATCTGAGTGGCTCTGCCACTGCGCCCGTTACCCTGAGACATGAGTTGACAAGTCTTATGTGCCTGTAATTTCACCAGCACCCCTTCAAAATCGGAATGCAATAACGTTCACATTACTGCTTGGCAGAAATAGGTATGGTGGCAGTACTTCCCTGGACGAACTCTTTCACAAGGGGTTCTACAGCTACTAATCTGATCAAATACAAAGTAGACATAAAAATTTGGACAGATATACCTTTATCAAAGCTGTATTTATGGCCCAAGGACAAAACATAACTGTGACGATTGATAATACGAGTTTGTTATTACGATCAATGTTACATAAACTGTATCATATTACAAACTGTAATAATATTAATTAAATTACCGCTACGAAGTCCATTCTCCTTATGAATAATACCTATTCTTGTGAATTTTAATAATGTTCTAAGTGCGTTTTTGTGAAAATATCAAAACAAACTAGGAAATTACAACCGCAATCGAATTCAATCTCATGTAATTTATAATCTATATAAAGCCACATCGTCGCCTTAGAGTGAAAATATCGCATACGCGTTTTCGCATAGTTCATTTTTTTATTTTTGTTGGAGAACAACTTAAACTTCTTGATCAAATATATTATTAAAGTAATATAGTATTTAAAAGAGGTGTAATTTAATTAATTAAAATGCTAAGTTCAAACATTGTGTTTAGTCCATTGTACTCCACATTATGTCGTGTAAAAAACATTTTGTCTGTGGTTTTCTTTTGTTAAATGTGTTTTTTTTTTCATTTGTTTATTTAAATAATGCTATTTACATTTCCAACTTTTTATTTTTTTGTGCATTTGATCTCCATCTCACCTGATGGAAAGTGTCGATGCGGTCGATGATGGAGCATGCACGCCTAAATAATGCCTATTCACTCTCACCTTGAAAAGGCCTAAGTTTGCCATTCAAGGAACAAATCTACTGGCAGGGAATTTCACCCATTTTTAAACAATAATTTGTGTTGTTCACAGCATTAATCGGACCGTGGGTGCGCGACAAAGAGGTGTCAACGAAGAACAGCGAGGCTAAGATCCTACTCAACAACGATCACGTCGTCATCAAAGACAATGGGCTGTATCTAATTTACGCTCAGGTAATAATCTAAATTATTATTTTTTAAGACCTATCTACACGGTTGAGGTTCATCGCGAGTAAGCTTGCCCAAACCAAACGCGTTTGTTTATTATATGCGTGTGTATGTAAAGGGAAAAACCAGTACAAATTGTTTGCAAGGCTATGTGTCCGTTTACTAGTGCGACGGCCACACAGCAACAACACAACAAGCACAACGTCAGACGAAATTGAAATTGTAAACAAGTGTTGTTCATCTATTGAAAAAATGCGACTGAATGGTCATCATCATCAGCCTATCGCAGTCCACTGCTGGGCTCTCCCAAATTGCCTCCGTGGCCGAACGGATACAATGCGGTTCGGCCGAGAAATATTTGTATCGCCTACATTTGTTTCTCTCATGAATTTGAGTGAAATTTGTGGTTGTCTACGTGTGTGTCCATGGCGCCCGCGACACAGTTTTCCTAGTGCAGGGCTGTGAGTGTGTATAAAAAGGGCACCATTTCACCCGGCCTTCTGTCTATCGCATCCATCTGCTGCCAACGGCCTTTCGTCACTCCATCTGGTTAAAGGGCGTCCTACAATACGTTAGCCGAGCCGTGGTCTCCGCTCAAAAACTCGTTTCCCTCTTCGATTATTGGTTTTTCGACTTCTGATAAGCAACAAGCAAACGCGCGGGCGCGCGCACGCTCACACACACAGACAAACAAACACACAGAGACACACACACATCCCACACACATCCCACACGCGCGCGCACAAACACACACAGACACACTCACACAGACGACGATCAACGATTATAGTACCTAGACTACACGATGTATATGTTGGGAGAAAATAAACGATTTATTATTATTATTAATAATAATCGGAGTCGGTTCCAATCCGGCCGGATCGAAGGATTTTTTTCTGGGTGTTCGATCTTTGTATTAATAATTATAACAAACTAGTGGAGTATTTTCACATAGAAATATTTGAATATCAATTCAATAAAAATTTAAAATACAGTGAATAGCGACATCTCTCGCCAGGGCCGGTAGGGCTGTAAAGGTATCTAACTGGGTGATAAAACTTTCATAGATTTCTCATAGATGGCGTTACGACTAAAAAATCGTTGAAAAACCTAATGCAAAGACACGACAACAAGCACATAGAAAAATGCGTGAGGTCTGCTGGTTCGTTCCGTGGCTTAGTTGGTATAGCGTCTGACACGGTATGCTAGAAGACGTCGGTTCGAATCCGGCCGGATCAAAGGAATTTTTTCTGAGTGTTCGATCGTTGTATTAATAATTATAACAAACTAGTGGAGTAATTTCACGTAAAAATATTGGAATATCAATTCAATAAAAATTCAAAAAACACGATCATAGTTTTGAGAAAATGGCGCCTAAAGATCTTTTTCGTGTTTATGGCTAATGGATTTATAACAACTGTTTTTACCATTTTTTATTATTTGGAGGTTTCAAATCACTTAGTTACGCTTGTAAAATGTAGACGAGACGACAATCTACAATTTGACATTAATATCTCAATTTTCGAGTTCTTGTGGGTTAGCACGTTATTAATTTTTAGTATCCATTTGTCAAACGTGGTGGTGGTCAAAGTGGTTTTAAAACCGCGTCGCGCTTGTTGTTTAGAGACTGTTGTTGGAGAGAGAGAGGGGAAGTCCTAGTAGAAAATATTTTTTATTTCAATCAAGGATACTCAAAGTACCGAATACTTAATTATAATAAACTTTCAGTAATTGGTAAAAACTTGCTTGATTCCTAGATTAGACTTTTGTTGTGTATATATTATAATGTAATCTATCACCAGAACAACAGAATTCAGGATTCGAGAAGTTTAGGAGATTTCATTTCCCAAATTTGTCTTACCGGGAATCGAAACCTCCACATCCAACGCCCACAGTGCAAACCGGTGCTTAATTAACAAAATCATAATTTCCACGAATAGGTTTACCTATGTCACTTTTTTTTTGTTTGTGAACTTTATTCCGTGTAAATAAACAAGAGAACGAGTACTTTGTACAATGGCAAAGTAATTAAACGTGAAATAAAATTATATACAAAAATATCTCCATATATCTCTTAAATAACATTCAACAATATTAACATATGTTTTTGTTTAATTTAACATGCTCCAGATACTCGCACATGCGCTGGCTACATGTCAAAGGCCTCGAGCGTTTAAGGGGAGTCACCGTAGTCGAAGGAGGAAAACTGTTTTGTTAGATCAAATGGTTTAGGTATTTACTTTTAAATAACGGCGTTACAAAAAAATAAGATACATCTAAGGAAGATGAAGAACGAAAGAACGTGCGAATTTGTTACACGATAGGATGTACTTCACCAAAACATATATAATCCTGAAAACAGGCTGAATTGAAAGTCGAAAATGTTATTATTTCAGAATAAAATATCACATAATTTTTATTTGGAAATAATTCTCTTTGAGTACTACAGAGAACGTTCGTAAATTTTGGTTTTCAACTTGATCCCAATATTTCAAAATTGCCCAGCGGTTTAACGACCCGCCGCGCCGCCCGCTGCCCTGTCAGTCGCCATCGGGCGCCTGTCGACGTCGGATCTGTTTCAAATGTTTTCCGCCTTTTCTTATTTTATTCCATTTTCATTTCATATTAATTTGAAGAGCGCAGGTTGTGGAACGCGAGAGGCGGTTCCCCACACCTCATCTTCTGAAATGTAGGTTCGCATTGAAATACGAAATGTAAACCATTGTGAATGATAACGGTTAAGTCGATCACCGCCCGACAGCAAACTGCTGAATTTCGGTAGGTGACCGCCTCAGATATCCAGCAGATGTCAGAAATTTAGATTCAAAGTTACTGAACAACTGAGTATCATTAGTCCTAAATTGGACCTAAATTCTATAGAGCACGTAGCATGGCGTCTGCCTTACCCCTTTTTACAACTAATCACGAATGCACCTATCATCGCAAGTTACCTAATATTAAAAAAAAACAGGCAACAAATCAAACAATACTATTTAAATGACATAAAGTGTATTTTTCAACATAGTGTTACTATTTGTAAAATCTTATCCTAATAATAAATAGATTAGGAAAAGTCATTAATAGAATATATCTTTTAAAAACTTTGCTAAGAATGACAAATGTCCAATTTAATTATATATCTCGATTCGAGCCATTACATCATTTTCGTCGATTAAGTCTTTATTTATTTATCATCTCATTTCGTCACAATACGCATTTCGAAGGTGTTGACGAAAAATCCTTAAAAAAACATGATTATTTAGACATAATACAAAATACAAATCAACTACATTTTCATTTGCTTTTTCAACAATCACAACCCCTGACTATTTTATGGAGACTACAGCAGCGTCATCTGTCATAGTTAAATACTGCTGTATTCTATATAGTTTTAAATATGCAAATTTTATTTACATGGCATTGACCTACCAAGGCAGGACGTAAAATTGGGTTGATGATGATAATGATTGGCCTACCAAGGCTGAGGTAAAAAGTTATTAGTAATTGTAGTGTCCACTCCTACAATTAATAGCGTATCGGGATTTGGCTCGCCTACACACATCGAGTATACAACCAGTAATAGAGACGAAATCTCATTTAATTTCTTTACACTTTCTTTAACATCTTTATGACGAACACTGACAAACTCCTTATACACCCACACAAGTGACGTATGCGCTCAAAACAAATCATAGATAATCCACACACACTGTAATAATGCACCAAAAATCACCAAAAAAAAGGTGTATATAAATGAAAGGAATTTATTTTAAACAAACGATAAGCAATCAAGTCGACATTCAGTAATGATATTTTTATACCTAAATAACATTTTATTTACAAATCTAAATGAGTAAACACCACTACAGAGTGCCTATTACTTGTCTTAAAGTGACTACTGCCCGCGATAATACTTCCGATAATATGCTATCGGGGTATTAATATTATACCACCAAACAGTCTGGTGTTTCCCCTTCATTTTAGAGAAAAATAAGCAAGAAATCAGAGGAGTTCTTGAATGCCAATGTTTTACATTTATGGTATACAATCATTATATAAAAATATCATAGGCAGAAATACCCTGAAATATCTAAACGAAAGCCTTGGATTTTTATCATCAAACTGAACAGAAATTGTATTAACTTTGTAAAAGGCAAATTTTGAATGTCATCAGGGATCTACGTATAAAGCGTATACATTTTCCCTTAATTGAATTTGGGACTTTGAGAAGATGGCTGTCAAGAGCCAGTTTATTTTTGTTCCTTGTGTGTTACGTAGTAGTATGCCTACCTTTAAAATAAAAGAGAACACATATTGTAATAATAATAATAATATCGCGCACACACCCATAGCCCCGTACTAGGAAAACCACAGACACGGGACACACACGTAGACAACCACACATTACACCCACCCAAACACACGAGAGAAATAAATGTTGGCTATAGAAATATTTCTGGGGCATAGCAGTCCAGCAAGGTAACCGTTCGGCGACGGAGGCAGTTATATTATAATGCGTATTAATGCTACGTTTTAAAACGTCATGGTCTTTGCATTTTAAATAAAAATCAGGTAAAAATATTACTTAGTGTAACAGTATTTGTGTAGTGCTGTTATAAACTCATGGAATTCTTTAACCACTCGGCTTTTAATCGTCCACTTAAATACTCTTACAAAAACCAATACAATATGATATTTGTACTATGTCATACTACAATATGATAATCGCACTGTCTATGTATAATCTGACAATAATTTAATCGTTCAAAAAAGTATCACAGACCCACCCGCGCGCGTGGAGTTTTTTAACAATGAACCAGTACGTTTTGGGCGACACACGTAGCATTTCTAATAGCCGCTAGTAGATTGTCGAGGTCACACGAGGCGAAAAATGCCTAACATGAAACAATGGAAACTTGCATTTGTCATGTGGGAACGACGGCTGGTCTTAATACCCCCAAACAACAGGGATGCTAAATACAACGCGCTTGGTAAATGAATTTTTTTTGAAATTTGTGCAAGTCTGATCGATACCTTACATACTTTAACACGTGCTGTGACACAACTTGATGTCCGGACCCGTCTTTGCAAATAAGTTTTTTTTTTATTGAATCTTTTTCTCATTAACTTCACAGGTTACCTATTTGACGCACGCGCCGTCATGCTACCTCCTCTTTGCGCGTCAACCAGGTGAAAACCCTCGCCACCTGTCAACCTGTGCCACCGGTGACGACTCCACCTCCCGACCAGTGGGAAAATCGCACATGTCTTGTTCAATACAGACTATAACCCGATTACACAAAGAAGACGTTGTGAACTTAGCGCAACGTGAACAAAACAGAACACTATCTTTAAGGGCGGGTTATACTTACTTTGGGTTTATCAAACTTAGTTCCTAATGAAGCTGTGATACTAGGTTTAGATTTGATGAAAAATTCATATAGCAATAAAAGCACTTTGTCATGTGAGTTCTGAGCAAGATTTCACTCATATGTGTAGATGAGAATCCACCGCTATGTTCGCCGGTGTGACCGTCGCTTGCATGTACCACAGCTCTTGTGAAAACAGGGAAAGGAATAGACGCAATTTTGCTCTCCCGTTCTCCCACTAGCGGCACCGTAAATCACGAAATACACGTGATAAAAAACCGTTGTGTTTGTACTTAAATTTGCCTGTCTTTGGGCAAATATACCTTATGGTCACTTAGAGTTACATATTCTTTAAAACTACTTGATACACATTTTTTAAACTTTACCTGTAAATCGACATAAATAAATCCCTAACAAAAATATAAAGTCCGAACGCAATTTGCATAATTGTGACGGCCAAAATTTCAATAGGCCCCCTAAGTTGTCTGTCATCTGCTGCGTTTTTATTTTAATACGTCGTCATATAAAATGGTTCAATAGTCCAATAGTTGCAGGTAAAGGTAAGTTATAGACGGGTACTATACATTTCACACTTCACAACATTTAGAATGTTAATCAAATACATGTACTTTTGGGATACTCTTAATCCAGCCATAAGGTAACTTTGCCTGTAGATTGGCGCAAAGAATTATATCTTTTATTTTAGGTGCTATATGGTATACTTACTTCTATGACTACGTTAATGATCCATCTACGTACTTAGATCTAAGTTAGTGTCCCTGTGAACAATTTAGAGATATAACAATGGACATTCTACTGAGGTGATTTCAGTGCCATAATGTACATAGCAATTACATCACATTAGTGGTCTATACTAGTTATTATACAAAAGGGACCAATAAAACTCACAAAATCTATGGAAGGTAGTAAAACTACATTCTGAATGTTTCTTTAAAATTTTTAATAATGGTCATTGCTACACTTCCATATACAAAAATAAGTAATTATTGGACCTGTTAGCCCTGTAAAATATTCGTATTTTGGTAAACAGTCTCCTCCTAACGAGTGGTGCTAATTCGGTGTCTCAGTGCATTTGTTGTACGTGCTCATTTATAGTGTAAGATAGTTAATTCTTTAATTTGAAATTTGTTACTTTTAATTAACTCAAAAACTACACAAGGCTTTATTATCATTATTGTAAATAACTTTTGTTTTCCCACAATTAGCAATTCACACAACACAGCTTTTTTATGATACCAAGTGAAGGGACGTACAAGTGTTATACGACACGCCCGTCCGTAACAGTTGCATTTCCACTCAGAGCTTTAAATCGCAAAGTTCTGAGGGACATTGCCATTGCACCTGTAACCCTTCACCTGCACATTTCACCAAAAATTACGCTGATTACCCTCCAAGTGACGCTTGAAGAGAAGGGAAACATTGGGGCGATTTTTAGATGTCGATTGAACGAAAGTAGTTTGTTACAACACATACACACAACCGTACGCACTCAAACACACAAATATACATACAAGAACACTTCAAACTGATATAAGTCTATGAGTTATTTAAAAATGACCATGTAGTTGAGAAAAGCTATTTTTAAAACTAGCGTTTCGTTTTTCCACTAATTTGTTTACCTGTTATGTACGAGAGAAGCCAGTTTTCAATGTATATATCTTAGATACTTTCGTGTCTTTTCTTTCTTTCTTCTGTGTTTAAACCAATAAGAAGTAGAAATATTAATATTCATTATTTCTCTCTCTTATATTAATATTCTCAATGTATAATATTTTTACAGTAAGACTTAATTTTTGTTGTAAAGTTAGTCACTAATATGCCGAACTTAGTTTGTACATAGCCACAACTATGCAAAACGTGTTAAGATTGATATCTTTATGTTAAAGTCCAGATTTTGATCTCTCATTATTATTGGCTAGTACCACGAGTAAAACCAAATTTAGCGTTAAGTATGTCAAAGTAGTCATCTGTGAAAAGTCTCTGTATACACCATAAGATCGCTTTTGATTGTTACATTGTAATGTATTTGATAAATATTAAGCTATTGTCTCTGCCTACCCCGATGGGGAAAAGGCGTCAAGTATATGTATTAAGCTCCATTTAAATTCCACCATAAAGTGTATGTATGTAAACTAATCGGGGAGGGGAAATAATATGTGTGTATGTTAACAGTAATGTATATAATTCAGTGATTGTGTAATATAGAATGACTAGGTATTCTAACCTAGTCATTCTATACAATCCCGGGCTCCTTTAGGCAATGTCAGTGGCAATAACATTACTAGACATTGTATGTATAGTCTAAGTATTGTCGGGAACGGAATTTTGCATATCGGGTATCAGTATTTTTGTTGCTTACTATAAATATTTTATTCGAAAAAAAGTAAGCATTTTTCGTGAACAAATATCATTTGTAATTGAATCACCAATTCTTCTAATTAATCGTTCTTACAAGATGAACTCTGGGGATGATATCTGGAGGTGCAATATCGTCGGGGATAGTACAAATCCGCGTATGTAGTATTGGTAAAAGATGTGTATCTGCACCAAACCAAAATTCACAGGATAGGGATTTAACGTTATTACTTTGTTATTTCAATGGCTATGATTTTCATTTTCGCATAGTAAGCATTTATGTTGTCTACGGACTGATAACATTGACTGGCCACGACGTTTACGCGGGTTTGATTTGACCACTATATTACCGAAATGGAAACTCATAATCAGATGCTAGTTACGCGTAATTTGCAATATCCACGACGATATGCTTCTTAACACACAAACACTTGCTATTATTACATTGCTATGTGCATTTACATTTAAACAAATCCCTGGATATTGCCTTATACACGCTCGATATTGCACAGAATGCCTAAACAAGTTTATTACATACATTAACTGACTGTTTTAGGCATTGTATAGAATACCGAGGTATTATATGGAATACCGGATTACATACATTGCCGATAATATATGCGTTAGCAAAATAACACTACTTATTTCCTATCTGTTTGAGTAATTCATACTTTCGTCATTTTCTTATCTAAATCATTTTTGCAAATTTCATTGAAGACAAAAGAAATAAAAATAGATCAAGAAAAATATATGGCTTCGCAATAAGTCACCGGCTCTTCAAGGACGTAAACGTGTCGTCTTTATGAGATTACACGTAACGTATATATGTTTATATCAAAAAGTAAGATTACCTGATTGCGCTAGAATATATTCGGACTTCCTTAGATGTATAAAAATAAATACTACTTAATTTTGATTTAAGCATTTAATATACTTAAGAATTTGCTCAAAAGCATTGCATTTTTCAACTTATACAAATAATTTTACATTTATAATTATACTTAATATGAGTAAATAATTACTTTTTTAAATTTAATAGAAGGAGTAAGCGAATAACTACAATCTCACCTGATGGTAAGTGACGATGTGGTTAATAATTGAGCATTATTGTTTTGATATTGTATTTTTTTTCTGTTACTAGTGTAAGAAAGTTGTTTAAACGTAGGGTATATAATATAATTGTTACGCAGGCAACGACACGAATTACACATAACTAAAATTCTAATTTATGAATGGTGTCTGTGTCAGACCCGTTAAGACATCACATTACTTGCCAGACGCGCGAAATTCCGTATATCATCAGTCTTAACAAGCTTTATTACATTTTAGCAGGTTTTGAAGTGATAAATATACCCTTGTTAATTTTATTATGATATATATAAAATTAACTAGAACTTTAAAATGCTGCCACTGTAATAACAATGTCGTGTCATGTGTTCGTATCCAAAGGCGTCAAATGTCAATCTCAAAAAAGGCACAAACCAATTCGTTTTCTCAAAAATTTTTCTTTTTTCATGATATCAAGTGACGGGACGAACAAGTCGTGCGCTTGGTGATAAGCTACACGCCTGTCCATAACAGTTGCAGTGCCACTCAGAGCTTTAAATCGCAAAGATCTGAGCGGCACTGCCACTGCGCCCGTTACCCTGAAACATAAGTTGACAAGTCCCTGTAATTTCACCAGCACCCTTACTATTCAAAACCGGAGTACAGTAATGCTGACATTACTTCTTGGCGGCAGAAATAGATAAGGTGGCAGTACTACCTTGGACGAACTCTTTCTCAAGGAGCTCTACTGCTACTAAAATCTTCATGTCTATCAAGCTTTCTCGTTGTTTATGAATTAAACTATGAATCAGCGTGTATAATTATATGATAATTAAAAGAAAATAAACATCTTTATAGTTTCAAACCCTGCATTTTAGCACTTCACATCTTGAGTCAAAGTCAGTTCCTTTTCACTATTATTACATGAATTTAAAACTGACCTGCTTTAATGTGTGGTGACTACTTTACCAAAATATTACGCACGACATGTAACGAAAAATGAGATGATATATCATTTTAAACATCTGACATGTAATATGATGCCTTTACGGGTTTTGATAACTAGCGTTTTCTTAGTTTATAAGTGACAAAAAATGTTGCCCCCTACGTACTTATACCACCTTATACATAATTATTATTAAATACTTAAAAGTTCTTTTAGAGGAAACGAAACATACTTTAAGTCATTGTTGAAAAACAAATGTGATATCTATTTTAGATATAAATACATACTGCAATATAATTAAGTAATAATTTTACGTGACATATTTGTTATTGTACGCCATTTTGATTCTTAACATAAAAAGCTTTCTCACTAGTATAATATATAGGAATGTAGAAATTATAAAATTTGTTTTTGCAATTAATGTAAGGTATTTCTTAATATTTCTAGTGTGAAAGCTTATATGGATTAATAATTTTGTAATAATGAATGTCAATTTTGTAATCTTTTGTAGGTGACCCCACAACGTTCACCAATAAACGAGTAACTAAATATTTAATTTTTTTTTAATTTTTCAAACTGAATTATCGTTTTTCCAACAGGGCGCGATAGGCATGATTACGATTTTTTAAATCGTCTCTACTCTTCAAACCTTTCACTATATTCACCGTTGCCTATTGTGACAGATACTTTCTGTGAAGTCTATGCAGAGATGGCAAGCGCCCAGGTTTTAACCTGGCAATTTGTTTTGCCCGGGTTTTAATCGGCTTAACTGTTATAAATATTTGCAAATCCAGATTGTTCAAATGTAATGATAATAATCATTGACTTACAAATAAAAATAATACTAAATGTTTCTTGTTTCCTTACATATTTCGTCTTTCTATATTAAATCGATTGACTTGGAAATCGCATTGAAATGTATCTAATATAAAAAGTCGTTATCGTATACACTTCACAGCATTCTAGTATACTATTAGTAATTATAAGTCCTCAGAATTGAATCAAAGGTGGGTAGTGTGTGGAGTTACCTCTTTTTGGAATTATACCATATTCACTGTTTTCACCTACGATTTTGAGCAGAAATGGGTAAAAACCCGGGTGGGTTTATTGGGTTTTAACCCACTGCCCATATCTGAGTGTAAGTAATACAGGAGGACGACAATTTTTATTTCATCATATTATAAGAAGAAATTAAATCCATCAAAGAACGACTTTTATTACACATACAGTATAATTTTTCAACTGGGCGTAGATGGCCAAATCCGAAATCACTATACCTAATTTCCGTGGAATAATAATAAAAAATTAAATACTTTAATAAAAATTGCCACGGAAATTAGGTAGAGAACGAACACTAGTCCGAGAATGATCATTTTACAGATACTACTTTTTCAAATAATCGTGTATTAAAGATTCTTTACCATATATTGCTATCTAATTTGTTAGACACACCTAAATAAAAAAACAAACACATTTATCATCGTTATCATTTATGATTAAATAATCTTATTTTATCTATGAATGCAGAAAAGAGTATTAAACTGATAATATTTAACTTTCGAATATGTGAAATGCGCACTGCTGATAAAAAAAATTGTGATTTGAGGGTACGACCGACCGCTACTCGACCAACCAGTAGCGGTCAGCCGGCCAATTGTGCTGAGCGGACCGAACTATTGGTTAGAGTGAGATCGAATTATCACATGATTCACGTCATACGAATCGCTATACCGACAACCGATCGGTGATTCCCCGGCTCGGTAACGTTTTTAAGTTGGTATTGGAAATTAAGAAAAACGTTGCATGGGATTTTTTACAAAAACCGAGGACGGGTGCAAAGTTATTTGTAAAATACGTTCGTGTGCTTAGTTAATTGGAAATACCTCGACGTTAATAATTAACGTAGAAAAAAACATTATTCAGTACATTTCGATCTGGGACAAAATGAAATTGAAGAAATTTCGCTTTCAAGTCAAAGTAATATTTCACTGCAATCACAATACTGAATAGAACAGAGATCAAGGATTCTACGCCTGAATAATAATTTCAATAACACCGCCCATTTATACTAAATCAAGTTATTTAAAAAAAACTTATTTTTAATTTATAAAATACTGTTTGATAATTATACATAAATAAATATGAACTTCATACAACCCATCTGTTTATAGCCAGGAAGGCTGATCGCAGGATAAAGAAAGGAAAAAAAATATATATACTCCCGGACACAACTTTCGAGCCACCTTGAATTTTTATTTTAAAAGACCTAGAGTATAAAATATTTTTTTATTAAAGAAAAAGTTTTTATGCAGTTTTAATGCTGGCAGGTTTCCCCGTTATTATGGTGTGTTGTTGTTCCAAATTTGAATTTACGAATTCGAAACACGGAGAAAAGTTGTGATTCGTCATTGTTTCTAAGTGCAAGTCAAAACGAAATAATTTCAATATTTTTTTATTTAACAATAAAGGAGTATTACATTGTTTTTCCTCTATATTTAACCAAATTTCTCGAAGGAATTATGAACACTGCGCCCGAAGTAGCCGCACACGCTGTGACACTTTTGCAGTCTGGATTTAGTCAGCGCAATGTAAGTACACAACTGCATTTAAGTCGTTCCGCTGTGCAAAGGTGTACCATCGGTACTTAGAGACTGGCGGCTATGTTCGCCGTCAACGAAGACCACGGTTTCGAGTGACAACGGAAAGGCAAGATCGATTTATCTTCACGAGCTTACGAAATCGTCAACTGACTTCAGTACAGATCCAAGAACAGCTTCGAGACTTTCATGGAGTGGCTGCTAGCCATAGAACTGTGAGAAGGAAACTTAAGGAACGTGGTCTAACTCCACATAAGCCAGCGAACGGGCCCAAATTGACACGAACTCATCGAATGGCGCGACTGCAATTTGCACGAGAACATTTGCATTGTACTCCACGTCAGTGGAGCCAGGTACTCTTCACTGATGATTATGGTCTATGGAATATGGATATGAATTTCGGAAATGACGTTTAGTAAACCAGCTTCAAAATTGCATTAATAGTTTCTAATCAATCAAACATATTTTTTAATCTTAGGGCATTTAATACAAAAATGCAAGGTGGTTCGAAATATGTGTCCGGGAGTGTATATAAATAAATAAAATAACTCGACTCGTATATTGTCACTGTGAACTCGAACCGAGTTGCCCAACTCGGTAACTCGTCGCGTCGGAACTTTTACGCCACATCGCTCTCGCTACTCGCGACTCGCGAGTGTTCTGTCAGACATCGAGTCGAGTCAACTTAAATGTAACCGTCAGGATGGCTGGTCGCCTGTGACGTCTGGCACTGAGTGTATATTCAAGAATTGCTACGCATTTGCTACTTTCACGAATTAAATGTATACGCTTCTTATCTACATTAGTTAAAAAAATATAACCGATTGAAAATTTTACGAAGAAGTGATGATTAAATTAAAAAAAGCAAAAGTTTTTAGTGCTTTATTGCCATAATATAAAGGGCAGGCGATTAACAATTACTTTGAAGCGAACTATTCCGGTAAGGTTGCTGATGGATAAAACCGATAGGGTAGGTAATCATTATAAGGCAATATTAACAAAGAATTTAATTATATATTTGTTAAAAAAATATCTATAAGCATCATGCACCACCTTTCACTTAAGTACAAAACAATAAACTTAACTTAAAAACTTGGATCGTTGAACGCCTGCCCTTTATATTATGGCAATGAAGCACTAAAAACTTTCGCTTTTTTAATTTAAGCAGGCACTTTTCGTAAAATTTTCAATCGGTTATATTTTTTAACTAATGTAGATAAGAAGCGTATATCTTTAATTCGTGAAAATAGCAAATAGGTAGCAATAATTGGTAATACATACTTCTGGAAAATCTACTCTCTTCATGCTGAACAAAGTGGCGACCAGCCATCCTGATATCAGAAAGGCTGGTCAATTATTTTTTTAAATTTCTCAGAATATATCAAAGGTATAATAGCAATTATTTAGAAAAGATAACAAATAGGTAGCAATTCCTGAATATACACTCAGTGCCAGACGCTACAGGTGACCAGCTGTCCTGACGGTCACTGCTCGAGTTAGCAATCACGTCTACTCGAGTAACTCGAGTTGAAAAATATACAACTCGTCCCATCGCTCTGACGGAGCCACAAGTGGTTGGTTGCGGCCACTAGTGTGGCCAGAAATCCTCCATTTTGCCAAATTTGACGTTGGTGCTACCAGGGTTGGACATGAAAATAGCACAAACGAATATAACTTTATTTTTAACTTAAGATTTACTTTCATTGAAGGGTCTAGACTTTTATATTTAAAAAAAATAATACGAGTCAAAAAGACCCTAGATCTATCGACGAAGTTGCTAAAACGGCACCAATGGCGGTTAGGGAGAAGCCGGCGACTGAGGCCGAGTGTGCGCGGTAGTCGAGAGATGCTAGTAGCGAGCGCGGACCACTCCCGCAGCTTGTGGTCGTGGCTCGGCCGCGACCACTCGAACGCTCAGTGCGCCGCCGATGCCATTTAGAATGTATAACGCAACGGTTTTATGGCGCGCCAAATATTTTAGAAAGCTACTAAGAGCGTGGTCGGTGTACCCGCAAATATTAAGAAAAAATAAACGTATAAATTTTCATGGGCTAACAAAGGGACACCGCGCGAGTAATCAAGGGCTAATTAGACCTATAATAAATCACTGAACCTTTGCTGAAAAGCCACGTTTGTCGTCGTCGAGAGACAAGACAGAGTCAGAAATATGTTGTGCGTTCCGTTCCAGAGAAATTTTGGAATTTATTTCCAGTACCAAGTGTCAAATTAGGAAAAACGAAACGTCATGTCATGACATAACCTCAAATAATCTGATGAGAAATTCTCTCCTCTCTTCATTTCAGAACAAGCAAATAAAGGCGAAGTGTGTATTTTGTTAGTGATTTTTAAACAAATTAAAAGTAAATAAATCCCCGAAATGTTAACCAGGTGCATAATTTTATTACTTATGAACACATTAATACAATATGATTCATTAAAAAAAAGTATATGCAATAAAAAAGTTTGAAATTTTTAGGTTTAGATTTAGACGCGATTTTAGGCTAATTGCTCGGAGTTTATCAGACAAACCTTCAGGCAGTGATGAACGGGCACCGGAAAGTAAGATTAAAGAAACAAACACATCAGTAAAGAAAGAAAAAAAGGCCTCTGAATCCACTGAAAAGATACAAGCATTATTGAAGATGATGTTGGAAAAGCCGAAAATAAGTCAGCAAGAATACGAGGACCAGTTTACTGTGGCCCCAGAAAGACCTAGGAGGCATAAGCAGCTTGCTGATGAGATTGAAGTGAAGACTGAAAAAATAGGCAAGTACATGTACCTACCTGAGTAAATACGATAATTAATAATATACATGAACACTTATTATTCATATAGTATAAATTATTTTGAAGATATACTACTAACTTTAGAATACTAATGCATTGAAACCTATAGTCTGTTCTAATCCATTGTACCAAAAAATTAAACAAACAGATCATTGACCCAACCATAGATAGTTTACTTTACTGCCAACTACAAATCAATTAATTAGTTCAATGGATCGTAGTTGGAATAACTGTGTTTTGTATAATAAAATCGGTTTTGTGATTTTGCTGCTGATTGCTATAAAAAAACAAGTGATTCAATACTAAGTGGTGATATTACATGAGATTAAAGTTTTTTCCTTACATAATCTATAAAATCAAATTTACTGCGCCTCTCATTTACCTGCAATTTCACCCTTGCCAATCAAAACCGAAACACAGTAATGCTCAGATTACTGCTTAGTGGCAGGAATAGGTAAGGTAGCAGCACATACTACCCCTGGACGAACTCTTTCACCAGGAGCTCTACTGCTATTAAAAATTATAATGATATTGAATGTTGTTTACATTTTGATATGGCATGTTTGTTTTCATTTTGGTATATAAGAACTTTATTTTTTTTTTTTTTTGTTTTTCAGCCCAAATAATATAATAATTTGAAGACCTTGTTTAAAAATAAGATTTATGTCATAAGATTTAATTAAATTCGTAGCACTTATTAAATAAAAAATGTAATGTATTACAAAACTAAAGCACCTACTAAAGGAACAATTAAACTGTTCCTTAGAGACATGCACATGGTTTCATCAATTAATTGATTTTCCATATATACATTACAGAGGAAAGTATAACCAAAGCAGCAGGGGAAGTAGCGCAGGCAATTGGTGGTGATGTGAAGCAGACCGAAGCGGAGCTCCTATCTAAGGTCCTTGGCAAAATCAACCAAACGTCCACTAGTCTTAGGTATTTTGTGTTTAACATTTACATGGTTTCTGTTTTTGTATCTTGATTTACATTGTTTCTGTTTTTGTGTCTTGATTTTCCATGATAAATTTCTTTTAAATATAAGTATTTCAAATAAAAATTGAGTGAGATAAATTACTCCACAAAGTCTGCAGATATTGTGGAATATATACTATGTGAAAGCCATTGTTACCCTGAGGTTGAGCAGGTGTAGGCCCTCCACAATGTGAATTTTAATTCATTTGTGAAAGTACCATCTGTCGTACCTTCATGAAGGAGAAGTTTTGGCTGAAGGATGTCATGTACCAACATTTCCAAAGCTGGTTATCGGACACCCGCGTTCCATCACACATCATAGTCCATAAGTGTAAATAATTGTATTCTTATACAAGTATTATTATGTACGTTAGTCTATAAGGTATACATTTATGGGTCTATGTAGCCTGAATGTTAATAAATTTAAATAAATAGAAATAATGTATTAAAATTTCTGTATTCCTGAATTTTGAAATTCAGCTGTAACTCATGTTGCTTTTATGGGAACAAACTACTATTATATGTATACACAAATATAAAACTCAAGTGTGAAGTACAGGAATGAAAAAGAGTCGGCTAGCCAGCTGCAACAACAAGCGTCAGCTGACTCATTTGATCGTGGAATGAAAAGAATTTTATTTTTGTTGTACTTAATACTATTTTGAATAATACATTTAAAAAAAGGATATTGCATACAGTCAACTGCACAATCAAGCCATACACTTTTGTTCGAATATCGTCTACATTGCAATGGAACAAGATCCGCCAATGTCGACTTTGATGTGCTACCACCTGTACAATAAAAACCTTTACAACAAACTACTTTTGTTTCGTTTTAAGAAATATAAATTTAAGAATCATACCTTCTTACACTTGCAGTGACCTTCTGGTGGGAATGAAAGTGGACCGTTCAAAAGACAGCGATAATATGTTACAAAGGGAGATGAGAGGACAACAAGTGAAGCGCCTTGTCGATAAATCTAATACAGATGTCCAGAGGAGCAAAGAAACTACTAGATATACACAGAGAAAGATGGTTTCTGCCACGCAAATATCTAAAAAAGGGTGAGAGCATTCACAATCTTTATTACTTTTTTTTACTCATGTCCAGTACCTATATAAATAAAAGAGCACCCATCTCCCCTGCCTACAAAAAAATATAACAAACCATTTAACACGGCATAAATTATGAAACCTGTACTCTCTCCGTTTTCGGATATAGGCCTCCTCCATATCTCTCCACTTATGCCGCTACCTAGACAACCTTAAGGCGCGTGTTGGCCCATGGCCGCCACTCCATGATCCTCGTTATCCACCGATCTGGATTCATCCTAGCTATGTGGAATCATAACCATTGATGATCATTATGGAACACGAACATCGCGAAGGCGACTGTAGTTCGATACAATAGAGTTCTATTTTCTTCCACTTTGATTGCGATGAAATAAAACAATAATAAAACAGAATTACCAATAAAAATTTGGCAAAGAACATTTTCATGACTCCTTAATTTTGTTATATAGACTACAAAGCTTTTTAT